CGTGTTTCTGTGATGCTCTGCGATCTTAAGACGGGAGCTGGCATCATTTGCTCATGTGAGCCAATGATGCCAGCTCCTGCGTTACTAGTCGCTGTGGCCCTATAACCGAAGGTAGCACACTGCAACGAAGAATGAAATAAGTTTGATGCTCTGTCCATTGAAAGAAAGAGAGGCGAGAGCGAGCGCGTGGATTCCAAAGCTATTGCAACCTCTCCCGGCGAAAGGCCTTCTTGTAGAAAGATTGAAGAAAATGGTCTTCCTGGCTCATGCTCACGTGAAAGCTATCCCGGGGGTATGCTGCATCCCTAATATAGGGATCTATGCACCACAGGGCTCTGTCTCGAGACGTGTTTTGCCACAGGCGCCACTTGTGGTATAACCCCAAACGGAAATTAGATTAGGATTGGATCAGGGACAGTAAGGCAACGAGCCTTACAGCCATGCCCGCACACACGTGTCCTCCACGTGTACGAGACGCGTACTACACGTAGACTGTCAGCCCCGCCGGCTGACAGCGTTACAGTTTCGGTAGACCGGCAGTACTGTAGAGTTATGATAGACTACAATGTACATTAATATGGGCGGACCGCCGGCGGTGGAGGACGACAAGCACGGACTTGTCAAGGATCCTTCACCTTGGTCCGCCCGCTTACGTTTAGGTACTTCCGTCCGTTTTACCTAGGAGTAGCACCGCGCGCGGGTTGACGACGCGCGTAGCACGTCCACGAGCCGGCTCCGCCTCCGCCCGTCGGTACTGGATCGTCACCCAGTACCGCTCCGGGGCGTCGAGGCGTACAACCGCTCGCGCGTGCGCGCGTCCTCCCCGATCCCGCTCTACCACCGCTACCTCGAGCCCGTGCTCGGTACCGTGGGTTGGCCGTGCTTCTGTCTTCCCGCCGATCGGGGTCTTTCCGAACTGTCAGTACTCACCCCCCTCGTCGTTAGGGGTGATTATACTACACCACTCTCTAGTACCGGTTCCAGCATTGCGGTTTCAGTGGTCAAGACGGGCACAGCAGTCGACGCGAAATGGCGCCCGTGCGTTCGTGGTAGTCCGCGCGGCTGCGCCGGTCCGGCTGCTCCCGCTGACGCGCGAGGCGGGCGCTCGGAGCCGGGCGGGTTGTCGAAAGACAGGCCCTTAACAGTCGTTGTCGAAGACGAAGAAGGAGGGGCAGACCTGGTTGGTGACGGTGCGGTTGAGGCAAGAGTTGCCCGAGCCCAAGAAATAGCTCTGGTCGTACTCTGTGCGCACGTCGCGCCACGGCTTCGACTGAGCCCTGCGACGGGCGCCTGGCGTGGTGCGGCGAGCAGAGCACCCACCGCGCGGACGGCGGGTGCTACGACTCTGACATGGTGGATCGGTGGGAGGAGGGTGGAGATCGGGGCACTGATATGCGGAATGGATGGGGACTGGGCATCGTTGCAGTACACTTGGAGGCATATGTGGCGAGGTCGTGAATAAGAGTTTGGCGTTTAGGGACCGACTGCATTTCAAGAGTGCCTTCAGTGAGAGGCTCACCTTGGCCTTGTCAAGGGCAAGCCGTTTATGGCTCAGATGAGGATCGCCTTCCAGATGCTGAGCTGCCTCTACTTGGTCACCAATTTTTACGAGGGCGGTGACCAGTTTTCCTTCGTTTGCTTCGACCACGAGCATGTGACGGAGAGCCAGGCGACCAGTATTATCTCCGAGGCCTTCGTTTCCCTGCAGAGCATGCACGAAATGGGCATTGTGTGTTGTGACTGTTTATTTCAGTTCTGGTCGGGATCCACCCAACGCATTTCTTCGTACGACTTTAGGCCATATAAACTACGAACCGTTGCTATCTGATCCCTGGTACGCTTCAGACTCCTCTCCATTTCTGAATGATCATGCCCTGCATTCGTGTCGAACGCTTTCGCGTGTGCATAGGCCATAATATTCTTGACCAAAAGTGGAGCAACCACTTGCCCATTTTTGTATTTCTCTCTAAATGCCCCAACGACAAACTGGAACTTCGAATCGAGGCGCTCGTCGAATAACATACAGAGCACCAGGAAGACGTCATCACAGTATGACAACTCCAAGTAGTGCATCATAAACCGTAGCATGTCGTCATTTGGTCCTCGAAGTAGCAAATTGTGAGATAACGACTCTGACCGAAGAGTGGTACCTGTACTTGTGCTGACGACCTCCAATGCACCGCTACTCGTCAGAGCCCCATCGCCACTTTCTCGAATATGAATCGGAGGATCCCTAGACCCTTCTATACCTACATAATTTACAGCGCTGCTTCCGTTGCGAAGCGGTTCCACATGCTTACCGTTCTCACCTTCGACACCTTGGCGCTGCAATGCCCCGCCGACATCTTGCGTACGCACGACTACGTGTGCACGTTCCGACGATCCCGTCAACAGCTGCTGACTACTTTCCAATGGGAAACCAACGTAGCCTGCCTCCTTGTTCGACAGATATTTGTACTTTTTAATTGCTTCGACACAGACTGAGAGCGACTCCCGCCATGAAAATGAGAGCACACCAAGGCCACTCAACCGCTTCAGCCACTCGATGAGGGGATTCATTTCCGAGTTTGTCCGCGTTAAACAGGGAAATCTTCTGTAGCGGTAGACTTTCACTCGAGATTTGCATGCATCCGGAGTCGCCGCATCACACGTGCAAATTCTTACAAGTTGAGTGGAATTTCCGAGAAGTCCTTGGATTTCGTAGGTTTTCTGGAGGGTCGTAGAGCGTTCATTCCTACCAAGCAAGTACTTGTCCTTAATTATGTCTTCAAAACCCTCCACAAATGGACCACTGCGCGACGAGAAAGGAATGAAATCGCGTTGCTCTCCCGGAACGAAAAAACTCCCACGTAACCTGAAAAGTACTCCTCTTGCGCGTTTCGGCGTTGCGCGCGATATCGGCGGTTTCTGGCAAGACGATGCGACGCTCGCGGATCTCGGCGCGTGGCATCAATTTTGGATGCCCTGAAGCGTCCGTCGGCTCTACGTGGTTTGTTTCTGCGCGTAGATGTGAACGCATGTGCAGAATCAGGTCGCAATTCTGATGAATCCGTTGGGCTTCTGGAAGCCTATGCCGGTAACAGGGTGAGAGAAAGGAGAGGATGCGACTGGCTTAACTGCATCAGTAGGACTGGAACACCAGAGGACTGACATTTGAATAATGGGAAGTGGTTCGGGAATGGCAAAGCTAGATAAACAATTGAATCGAGAGAGCTGCTTTAAGTCTGCGTATCAATGCGTGACGGATTGCACAGAAAAAAAACATGTGCAGCCATACGTTTGACTTTTTAAATGACTCGAGAGAGGTTAAACTTCGCCAGATGTATGTAAAAAATGGAGGCTACAGCATGATTTGAAATAGAGGCATACTCTCTAGAAGGGCACTGAGGGTGCCGGTACGTGTGATTTTACTGCGTATCGACACAGCAGGAATGATTTTGCACAGAACATTTGCACCCTGAATTTTAATTGGCTGTGTTGGTAGAGTTACAGCGCACGTGGAGCTAGAGTCTCAGGGTTTGTTTGCGTCGCGTGCGGCAAAAGATAACTTTATTTAGTCGTCTCAGAACCGTCTTACAGCGTATGCAGCGACCCCTACCAAAAACTCCGGGGAATTAACAACAGCAATGCACGTCGCGACAACCCTCTCAGTCCAAGTGGACCCCCTCAATTGGAAAACCGTCAAGAGCCATTTGCTGCGGGAGCGCGAATTCTTGTGGTACTTATACCTGCAATTGGTGGAATTATATTGGCAATTTTAGATTTGCCTAATAATACTGAGCAAAATCAAAGAATTGAGCATTGCTGGCATCTCCAAATGTGTGCTCAAGACTCAAAAATGATTACTGGGGTACAGTCGGTAATTGTCGGAAGTGTACACCATATTATCTGAGTTCGATTTCTACAATAGCGAGGCAGCTGTTGAGAAGGGGTGTCAGGGAAGGCGGGGAGACAGTCAAAGAGACGCAGGGATGGGACGAGGAGGAGCGGGAAGCTAGTGAGAGTGGGCAGCGTTAATGTCGGGAGGATGGCGGACAGGGCGGGATAATACGTAAGTGGGTGCAATAATTGAAAGAGAGCACTGGGTCAGGTCAGAGGCGGGCGTAGGGGGTGGGGCCTGGGAGTGGTTGGTTGTGGGGATTGTGTGTTGGGATTGTGTATTATGTTTATGCGTGCAAGAGTATCAGCAAAGCTCTCGAGATCGTATCGACGCTGCTCAGCAGCAGCAGAAGCAGCCGCGGCTGCAGCGCTCGGGGACGCCGCCGCCTCTCACGGAAAAGGCTGGAGCCGATGCGAGCGCTTCGGACAATGACTGTGACAAGCATCGTATAGAAATTATGATGGGCAGTAGGAAAGTCATCCTAGCTTCATACAAGGGCGCCGCCACAGAGGACATCAAAACCAATATTTCCAGGTGCTTTGCCCTCTTCCCGGGCACCCAGCGGCCTCTTATGGATCACCACTACAACGAGATCATCATCTCGGCAGGCGTGTCCAGCGGTCGCTATAGGATTTTTTATGACCGAGTCTCATAATCCCTAACGAGACCGCTGTTTCCACTCTACCAGCTCCAAACGATTCTATACCACCTAACTGTTCGTTTGTTTACTTGGATGCGCTTCCAGTGAATTGTCTTTGTCTTCCGGGGGAAAGAAAAGAGCCTCAACGTCCGTGCCCCACCACTACTTGTCTTCCAAATATGCCGCCGTTTCTGTGGGTGTTACCGGCCCATCCACTTCACTCAGATAATCTAAGAGAGACTCACGCGCTTTCGAAGTCCAGAATTGAAGGTCTTTGTGCTCGTGCGAGCACAAAGACCTTCAATTCTGGACAGCTGGTGCGAGCACCCGATCATCACCTCGAGGACCTTTTCCATACGTAAGCAATTTGTAAACAGCTCGATTAGCTGTAATGATGTCTTCCAACTGAGCCACTTTTCCACAAAACCGAAAAGAATCGACAAATCATTGCCAAAACGTTTGCGGAAATTTTAGGCGAAACTATAAACGTCCGTTCAAGTTTTGGAAAGACGTGGTCACAAGCAGAACTGGACTTACAGTGACAGGTATTTCCCGTAGCGATTCCATCATGCTTCGTCCACTGTTGGCAGTGGCGCACCAATGATATTTAAATGAATAAAAATGCGCTACAACACGGCATACCAGGCGAGCTGAGTCATGGACGCAACACCAGGGGCAAAAATGAGACAGGGCCAGGGCCAGACGTCTCGGAGCGGATGACTGCGCAGGATCTATTTTCCTGATCGCGACTCTGACAGTGACAACCACAATCAAGATACATACTGTACTCAATTCACATAGCAATTACACACCTATCGAGCAAACACTTACCAGCACCCTGGTCAAGTGCCTTCCGTTTCACAGTTCCTCTCTTCAATATGCCGAGATCCCCCAACCGTTCAGGGGCTCGTGTTACTTCTGCAAATGATGCTTTCGCAGAGAACATTGACGCAAACAATGCCTTGAGGCTACTCGCCGACGCCGCAGTTGAGCGCAAGGCAATCATAGATGAATATGACATCGACGCCATAAAAGAAGACTCAGACGAGAAATGTGCCTCCAGCTCCCCTCTGTTTGATAAATTTTATAACACGGGAGGTTCTGCGGCATTCATCCAAATGACAAATTTTGATGTAAATGAATTTGGTAAACTGTGGCTTCTGCTACAAGATTATGTTAAAAAGTCTTGGAACGTCGGTCGAGGACGGAAGTCAAAATTTAGTGGCAAAGATGTGTTAATGTTCGTGCTAACAGCACTCAAGCACGGCGGACAGTGGGACTACCTAGGAAGGCTCTTCGGAGTAAGCGGTTCTACATTCGAGCGCACCGTTATGAAATTTATCGACGTCATTAACGAGGAACTTTATGAAGCTCTGGTTCTAAATCTGGGCGAATCGTGGACTATGAAGAGGATGATTGAACGGCAGTAAACGTTCAAGACGTTTAAATTTTGCCACTATGCCACTGACGTCACTTTTCAGCAAGCGTATAGGCCAAGTGGAACTATGTAGGAAGGTAAAAGGTATTTCAACGGTAAACATAAGCTTATTGTTACAAGGTGGAGGTATCGGTTCTGCCAAACGGTCTGGCAATTGGATGTTCCGATCATTATCCAGGATCAGTGGCTGACATTGATATTATGAGAAAGATGGAGGAGTTTCATACCGACGCTATGAGCAAGAAAGACGGTGAACTGGACATTGCTGATGTTTGAATTCTGTGTGACAAGTATGATAATAGCTGGCGTCTACTGGCTGACAAAGGCTATCAAGGATCAGCTGAATTTTTACGGTCCGTTATTCGGAGACGCAAGACAATTAATGGACACTTGTCGATACATGATGAGGCGCAAAACAAGAAGATTTCTTCAGATCGTATTATTGTGGAGAATTTTTTTGGGAGACTGTGCACAAATTGGAATATCCTATCAAGCAAGTACAGGTGGGCGGAAAAGAGCTATGATAAGATTTTTAGGATGTGTATCAGTCTTACCAATCTTCATATCAAGTGGCATCCGCTGCGGGCTGCTGATTTGGACCGTCATAACTAGATAAAAAACCGACAGTATGCGATTGGGGAGGAGACTGTCATGAAAAGGAGGCGTGCGCAGGAGAAATATCTTGCGAAGCGCCGC